TTCAAGTTTTGTATTTTCAATAGAAGTACATGAGGATAGGTATTTTTAGACCTTTAATTACATTAATAAGCCTTAAAAATAATCACAATATCGCATTGTTAGCCATGTCCAATTATCGTCAACTTTAACTTCCAATAAATCCTTCCATCCATCGTCCTCTATCCTTCGCATACTGCCCGATGGGATCCAAAGAATGAATGGTATCTTTCGTTGCCTTTGTACACGTTCGTCCTTTACCAGCTTATAAACATCATTGGCAAAGGATGACTCTATTTTGTAACAGCCGCTTACGTCAAGTTTTTCCAAATTTCGGCAATTTCTAATTACTTTCAATAGTCCATTTTCTATTGCGCATCGATTGTTAGGGCAGGAAATTGTCAACTGTTCCAATTCCGGGAGAAGTGCTACCTTTAGTATATATTCTTCCCTGACTACACCACGAGTGTAACACACCAACCCTTTTAGTTTCTTTAATTCCGAGATTTGTTTCGCACTCTCTGAACTCAAAAATAGGTTAGCTTCCAAACGTAACGAAGTCAATTGATCGCTCTTGTGTCTGGCCAGCTCATTAAAGAAGCTAATTTCGATGTCATCAGGGGTACGGTAATGAAGATCTTTCAGTTTCGGTAACGTGACCAAGAGATCAACTTGTTTCGAATATAAACAGCTGATTTCCAATTTTCGAAGATTATTTAAATATTTAACCATTTTCGCAATGTCTATTGTAGATTCCAAAGTTCTGCACTTGAGAATGGCAAGTGTATGTAATTCAGTTAGTTTTTTGCATATTTTCAACAAGTTGTCATTCTGCATATTTTTACAATCAGTCAAATCCAAATATTCCACCGTTTTCAGATGCCTAATATGTTTGCCTAAAAGATTATTAAACAGAAATGTTTTAATACGAAACCAGTAAGGAAAGTAGTAAAGTCTGACTGGGCCGACTATATGATACCCTTCACCACTTTGGGTATATTTTACATATGTATCGCCTTTTCGAAGGGAATGTTATTTCAGGATGTTGTGTCAATCGGCCTAGCTATGGGTCTATAGTGAACAATTTACTATAAATCGGACGAAAATACATATGGGAACTATATACAAAACTGAACTGATTTTCCCGAAACTCACCACTCATTATTCTAGACTCAATTCACTACGCTATGCGAAATTTCGTGCAAATCGGAGGATATAAAGGGACTTTGGTACACTATTTACCTAAAATCAGACGAAAATATATATGGGAGCTATATCTAAATCTGGACCGATTTTCTGGAAACTTCACACACGTCATATAATTCAGTTCACTATGCAGAATTTCGTGCATATCGATATATAGGGACATTGGTGCACCATTAACATAAAATCGGACGAAATTATACACGGAACCTATATCTAAATCTGAACTCATTTTCACGAAACTTAGCACACATCATTCTGGACCTAATTCAGTACCCTATGCCAAATGTCTTGCAAATCGAAAGATATATAGGGACTTTGGTGCCCTATTTACCTTAAATCGGACGAAAATATATATGGGAGCTATATCTAAATCTGACCCGATTTTCTCAATAGGGTTCGTTTTTGGGCCAAATAAGTGACTTGTGTCAAATTTCATCCAAATCGGATCATAAATGCGGCCTGTACGGACAGAAAGTGATTCTATGCATATTCTCAAAAGGAACCATGTGTCTATTTCGTTTCCTTTTGCCTGTTACAAACATATGCACAAAGACATAATACCCTGCACCACAGTGTGGTATAATGAGAAACTAAATATTAAACTCCGTGAGAACTCATTGTTACGTACATTTTTCATTAGATCCATTAACCGAGACAATTATGGTACCATGTTAGTATTTCAGATCTTTTTTATAAGTACCTGTTAATTTGCTATTGGACGCCAATGTTAGGTTTTTCAATTTCTTCAACTTCTTAAAGATCGCAACATGGGAATCACAAATATCTGTATATGTTAGATCTAGTGAATGTAGCGAATTACACATATTTGTAAATACAGATGTCTTCAATCTGGTTTCTCTCATTAAAAGCTCGCTGAGATTAGTACAATATAAAGTGACAAATTCCAAAATGCGATAGGGACAATCTTGTCCTTTAGCATAATCCACAAACTTCACCATGTGGGGACCGACAATTTCCAGAAAATCACGTACTTCCCACAACGTTAGTTCGAAATAATAGAAAAGGTTTGGTTCGAAACATTTATATTCGCGCTTGGCATACATTTCAAAGTGACTTCTTAAACGGCCGCATGTTCGTGCCACACTGACTTGATCCTTAAGCGTTAAATATCCAAATATGATTCCAAAGCAATCACTGTTTAAATTCAGAATTGATGTAATTCCTTCGGAACAATCGTATGTTTCATTGTCGTCGCAGACATAATTTTTAGCATCCGGTTGTTGCCAGCTATCATCAGCACAAACAGTTAATGGTTTCGTGTTAATAACATGTTCAGGTTTTGCCAATAGTCTGGGTATAAGAAAAAACACAAAATTAAATGAAACGCAAAAAAGTTAAGGGGTAGTGTTTTAAGTAATTGAAATCAAAAATATATATAATGATTCAGTTCAGAAGAAAAAGTCTTAGTATAGAAACCCTGTTTATATTATGGGGTAATATAAACAATTAACAATAAAAAAAAACTCGTTGACTTCTATATAGATATAATGGAGTATATTCTTTAGTCATTGGAATGCCTTTAAGATTTCTACAGACATTGCAACGCATCTTCATTAGGGCTTTATAGGTCTTCTTGGAATTTCTAAGGCTAGAAAAGAATATACATAATTCATTGAAAAGTCTTCTAAAACCATTCAAACAAATTCTAGACCTCCTAACGATAAGTTCTCCATTTTATAGCCACACACACACACACAACAAGAACACTTTTATTGTGAAGGCAGTCTGAGTCACGAACAAAACATTAAAATATGAGTTGCTTACTTGGCTGCATCAGTGTCATTCGCAAAATGGACAAATCCTCTTTTTAGACTCTCAGAAGTGTAATCGGTTAGAAACCCCATCTCATTGATACTTCCAAACTTTCCAAAGTATTTCCGTAGATCATGTTCGGCAACCTATATGTAGGAAGGAGTAAAATAATTTATTTTGCACCGATCCCTCAATAGATTAAATCTGAGTTTGTTTCATTAAATACACACCTCCAATGGACATTCAAATAAAATATTGTATACCAATATATTGTCTTCGGTGTAAGCTTTCCCATTGGAAAATGTAATTTTAGGTCTTTCATGATTATTCAAATCCAAGTTTGTGAACATTTTTTTTAAGTTTATGAAATTACTGAACTGACTGACGATAGCTAACTGGAACTTCTTTGTTACCATATGTCCAGTCAAACATAATTTGGGTGGGGTTTGAAGTGATATGAATCACTAAGTGTATGTTGCCACATTCACGGATATAATGTAGATTCGATTTTTCACGGGTAAGCATTTTAAGGATACTTCGTTTGTTCTTAGATTTGGATGTCTGCTTCCTTGTGGAATTTCCATACAGAGTAGTAGGCTTTTATGTTGTTTTTATCCAGTATAATATCGATTTTTTGAAGTAATGAAAGTCTGGTGTTTGAGTCGATATCGGGTCCATAGTTTGTATGGCTCCCCAATCACACCTGTCTGGTAATGTTGATCTTGTGAAGATGATGTCGCATTAGATTACGACCGAATCTTAATCTTGAAATTGTTGTCACTACTCCTCGGTGTATTTTTATGTTTTGAAACCTAGGGTGACAGTTGACTCTCGGTGAGAATGCGAAACGTCTGCCAAATATACTCGCATTCAATTTATCCTGCCAGGATTTTTACAGCTGATAATTTGGGCTAGTTGTTTTAGATCTGATGCAAACATTGATAATAATTGCAATAGAGTCCACGCACTCATTTCCGTCTGGCTTGGCATGATTCATCAATAGCACAAGCTTCCGCAGAATATATGGAGCATGTTATATTCAACGAAAAGGATGATTCGATGTTTAGCGAAGGTACCCATAAAGCGTAGCTGGTTCTATCTACAGTTTTTGTCAATAATATCAGTCAATAAAGTCAATAATATCAGTTGAAGGCGATCGATTTTTACGGACGTCAAGGTATGTACTTTTGGGAATTAATATGTTGGATTGAAGTGGATATTCATATTGAATGGGTCGGAGAAGTTTTATCAAATTATACCTCGTTTGTTTTCGATGATAAAGTTGGAAAAGAATAGGTCTGGTTTGAAATTTTTTATTATATCTTGCAATAAATGCATTTACTGGGCTTCTACAATCCGTAATCAAATTGCTCATCTAGTTGTTGACCAGTAGTTTAAATCTTTCCGGTAGCAGCATTACGGGTTTTTTTTTCGTTCGATCTGGTTGGGCTCTCTGTGGCTACTCCTTTGACCGGCTGAATGTCTGCCTGTTGCATGTAGATAGATAAGAATGTAAACATGCAGATGCACTCGGTGTATTTAAAATGATTCAGTAGTCTTGCCATTTAAAAATAAAAATCGGACCAAAATGCCGCAGGAAACAAATAAAAAAAGAAAATTGAAATAAAACAGTGCCTGGATTTTTTGAAAAATATTTTTTTCAAGTAACCATAAAGACGTGGAGTTTAAAAAAAAAACTTCTTTTAAAATAAAGCAGCCTTGATTTCTAAAATTATTGTCCAAAATAAAAGAAAGCCTGTAATTTTTAAAATATGTTTTTTTCGAAATAAGGGGTTACATTTTTTTCCAAAATAGAGCAGTGGTAGCATTTAAGTTTTGCGCGGAAGAGACCGATTTTTGTCCTTTTTAGGGACATTTTGGCCGATTTTTTTGTTGGAAGGGTAACACTCAGTTTGGATATAAATACACCGAGTGCAACTGCATGTTTACATTCGTACATATCTCTACATGCAACAGTTCAGTAGTAAGAAATTCCAGCCAGCTATCATCAGCCAGTTCAATAATTTCATCATCTTAAAAAAAAAATGTTGACAAACTTGGATTTGGATTTGTCGCCAAATTCTATGATTACACTTTCCAATGCGAAAGCTTACACCGAAGACAATATAGTGATTTACAATATTTTATTTGAATGTCCATTGGAGGTGTGTATTTAATAACAAAAAAATCAGATTCAATCTACTAATGTTGTTTACTCTTGCATATAGGTTGCCGAACATGATATACGGAAATACTTTGGGAATTTTGGAAGTATTAATGAAATGGGGTTTCTAGCCGATTACACTTCTGAGAGTCTAAAAAGAGGATTTGTCCATTTTGCGAATGCCACCGATGCAGCCATGTAAGCAACTTATGTTTTGTTCGTGACTCGGACTGCCTTCACAATCAAAGTGGTCTTGTTGTGTGTGTGTGGTTGAAGATGTTTGCAATGGTTATGGAAGACTTTTCAGTGTATGATTAGACTTTTCAGTGTATGATTATACTTAGATACTTTTCTAGCCTAAGATATGCCTATAACGTCCTATAAAGCCCAAAAGAAAATGCATTGCAATGTCTGTAGAATGACTAAAGAATATACTCCATTATATCTATATAGAAGTCAACGAGGTTTTTATATTGCTTTTTGGTTTTCTATTGCCCTATATCATAAAGGGGGTTTCTATACTAAGACCTCTTCTCCTGAACTAAATCATATTTTTGACTCCAATTATTAAAAACACTTTTCCTTACAATCTATTTTATAGGCCCGTACCAAATTCAGTGCGTTGCGTACTAAAATACCCACCTTCTCCTCTGAATGGAATCATATTCTATTATTTATTTCCATCATTTAAAACATTACACCTTAAATTTTTTGCATTTTATTTAATATTGTTTTTTTATTACATTACATTTTATTACAGGATTTTGGAAATACCGGAACATGTTATTAACATGAAACCAATACGTGTGTGTGCTGATGATAGCTGGCAACAACCGGATGCTAAAAATAATGTCCGCAACAACAATGGAACAAACGAATATACCAAAGAAATGTCTACATCAATTCTGAATTTAAACTATGATTGTTTCGAAATCATATTTGAATATTTATCCCTCAAGGATCAAGTCAGTGTGGCACGAACATGCGGCCGTTTAAGAAGTCTCTTTGAAATGTATGCCAAGCGTGAATATAAATATTTCGAACTATACGATTTCACTGAAGACGAGCTAACGTTGTGGGAAGTACGTGATTTTCTGGAAATTGTCGGTCCCCACATGGTGATGGTGGCTATTAGTGGTAAAGAAAATAAATGTCACGATCGCTTTTTGGAATATGTCAGTTTATATTGCACTAATCTCAGCGAGATTTGTTTAGTAGCACACAGATTGAAGAGGTCAGTATTGGATAGAGTCTTCACAAATTTGAGTTATTTGCTACTTTCACTGGATCTAACCTATGGAGATCTATGTGATTCCGATATTCCGATCCTCAAAAGGTTCACGAATTTAAAAAACCTTAGATTATGCCATCACAAATTAACAGGTACATATAAAAAAGAGATGAAAAACTAACATGCAACTATCATAACTATATCCTCCAGTGAGAACTCAGTTATGACTCTGATAAATAATAGCCTCTGTTAATGCAGCAAAAGAGAAATTTACATAACAATGAGTTCTCACGGAGTTTCATATTTGGTTTCACATTTTGTATTAAAACATATATTTTTTATTTTTTGATAATCTTTTAGGCCAACACATTAAGGATTTCAAAACGGTGGAATGTTTGAATTTGACTTCTTGTGACCGTATGCAGAACGACAACTTGTTGGAAATATGCAAAAACCTAACCGAATTACATACACTTGCCATTCTCAAGTGCAAAAATTTGGAATCTACAATAGACATTGCGAAAATGATTACTTATTTAAATAATCTTCGAAAATTGGAAATCAGCTGTTTATATTCGAAACAAGTTGATCTCTTGGCCACATTACCGAAACTGGAAGATTTTTCTTACAAAACAAGTGATGACATCGATATTAGCTTCTTTAATGAGCTGGTCAGACACAAGAGCGATCAATTGGTTTCGTTACGCCTCCAAGCTCGCCGATTTTTGAGTTTGGGGAGTGCGCAACAAATCTCGGAATTAAAGAAACTAAAATGGCTGGGGTGTCACAGCTCCGTTGATCTCACCGATGAAGCTGTAAAAAAACTAGCACTTCTGCCGGAATTAGAAGAGTTGAAAATTTTCTGTTATAAATTCACCATTGAAAAAGGACTATTAGAAGTAATTCGATATTGTCAAACTTTGAACACACTTGACCTATGCGGCTGCCGTGAAATAGAGGCATCCTTTGTCAGTGATGTTTTGAAGCTGTTAAGGGACGAACGTGTACAAAGGCAACGAAAGAAACCATTAATTATTTGCGCCATTGGATGTGTTATCGATGAGAGTGAGCTGGATTTTTCGGAATTGGATTTGGCAGGGGAATTATTGCATGTTAAATTCGATTTGGACACGTTAAAGGGTTGCCAATCATATTGTAGTTATTTTTAAGGCTTAAAAAATTACCTACTGTAATGTATTTCTATTGAAAATAGAAAATCTGAAAAACTACTGAAGGCCATAAGTGAGACCAATGGGTTTTCTATAGTCTGTAGAAGATCTAGATGTGTTGTAGTGCCTAAAGATGGCCTTTCGAAATCAAACAAGGCCTGGATTAAAAAAAAAAATATTTTTTCAAGTAGCCAACAAATCGTAAATTTTTAGATTTATTACAATTTTTTTTTTAAATCTATAATATTTTGAAAAAAAAAAATTTCAGACTGGATTATTAAACAATATTTTTTAAGGTTTAGAATTTTTTAAATTGTTTTTTTTTTCGAAATAAATAAAAGTAAGAAAACCCCCTGTAAATATGCTCTTCAATATTATGTTTATTTAATAAAAATGAAATAATAATAATATGATTATGATATACATATACAAAGATAGATAGGTATTAACAAAAATAAAAATGAAAGATTAGTGGCGTCGTTTCTCGACAACGATGATGAATGAATGATTCGCAGCAAACATAGTGGTAGTAGTATTTTCTCCTTTTTGTTGAATGAATATAGCACAGCATTATTATTCATTCGTTCAGTATTCATTTCTGGCATCTAAGGAATATCTAGAACTATATTTTTCAATTAAAAAATAATAATTAAAAAAATGGAAAAACGAAAAACAAGCTTACCTCATCTCCATAGCGATTAAAATTAAGAAGCATTACTTCACGCAAAAAATTGAACCCCAGCTCAACTTCCTCCACATCGTCGGGATCGGAATAGTACATATAGAAATCTTCATCGTCATCGTCCAACATACCCAAAAAGTCCATATCCTCGTGATCGTAATCATCATCATCGTCGTCGAAGTCATCATACTCATCCGGATGATCGTACAGCAGATCTTCCAAATCTTCCGACTGGTAGTCGAACTTAATTTGCATAAGCTCAGCAGCAGCGGCAGTTTCGAAATCGCTTGTGCAAATCGAAAAGTTATTAAGGCCCGAACGACAGGCTTGGACAATTAGCGGTTTCTTTTTATCGCGCTGGCTTTGTTCGGCCGTCAAAAGCTTTAACAGACGCTGGGCAAATGACATTTTCACCTGTTTACAGCTGCGTATGTCCAACGTCCGAAGGTTGCGACAGGATTTCACCAAATCCAAGAGACCCTCCTCACTGAAACTATTACAATTTCGTACATTTAACAATTCCAGTTCGCTAAGATGGGCGATTTTTTCCAGGCATTCATCATTTAGTTGTTGATTGTGCGGTAGCATAAGCGTTTTCAACTGCTTAAGTTCGCAGATTTTTGTTATTTTCTCCAAATCCAAAAAGCTTATAGCATCCAAACATAGCGACTCCAATTGATGACTTTGATGTTTGGCCAGAGCCTCGAAGAAGCTCAACGGTAAATTATATTCTGCGAGCAGTGTCAAATGCTTCAGTTTGGGTAACATGGTCAATGACTGATTTTGCTTTGTCATGTTGATTTTTAATGTTTCGAGATTATTCAGATGTTTGACCACGTCACCGAAGTCCAGGGTGCGCAACGTTGTGCAATCGACAATTTCCAGGCTAGTTAGTTTGGTTAGACTTTCGCATATTTTCACAAAATTATTGGAAGTCAGACGGCGGCAACCATTCAAACATAAACATTCCACCGTTTTGAGGTCTTTGATGTATTTGCCTATCAACGAAAATAAATTTCAAATTAATCCAAATAATCTCATCTGATCGGCGGCTGGCTTACCTGTTAGCTCACAATTCTCCCTAAGCGAAAGGACCTTTAGGTTTGGCAAATGTCGAAGCAGCCATATGGACGAGTCACACAGCTCGGTATCGTTGAGTTCCAATGTCTCGATCTGTTTAATGTTCCTCAACATTTTACGCAATATCGATGGCTTCAATGGCTTCGTGTCGATAATGACATTCTTTACGTTCGTACAGAACAAGCCGATAAATTCCATAATACGATTAACCTGATTAAAGGAAACCTGGCCATCCAATGTCTCGATTTGTGGTCCAGCCATTTCAAGAAATTGACGTGTCTCCCATAGCGTCAGATTATCGAAATGATACAAATATAAATGTTTATATTTCAATTTCGAATGCATTCCGTAGACGTAGACAGGCCCCGGCCAAATGTATTTGATCCCTCATTGACAAATATTGGAAAATTAATTCCAAACAATCGTCGTTTAAGTGGAGTAGGGAAGTGGTATTGTCGGCATCGCCGTCGACTGTGTCGCCGCCGGGTGTGTTCTTGGCGGTACAGGTATCTTTTCCATTGTCTTTGTTGTTATTGTGGGATTGGGCCTGAGCATCAGGTTGATGCCAGCTATCACAGGCACGTACACGTATCCTTTTTTTGTTAATAAAATGAGTGGTGTTTTGCAAGACTCTGGAGAAGATGGAAGAGGATAAGGAGAAAAAAATAATTATCATTTCTGCTCGAAAGATTTGTCAACCCCATTGAGAATCCGAAATAGTAAATTAGAGTCTATTCGATTGAAACCTTTATTCAAAACCTAAATAATGGGGGTATGGATATTGGGGACTGAGCCAAAACGTGGATCAATATTGATAATTTTTGTTAGTGGTCCAATATTGATAATTTTTGGTAGGGAGGTTTTCTAGCCTATGAGAATCCAAAATACTAAATTACAACAAAATCGGTTGAAAAATAAGCTGAAAACTCCGAAAAAGGGGTTTCTGTTATATGGACTCTTGGTTCGCTATATCGAATCTTGGGTCAATATTGATAATTTTTGGTATAGAGATTTTCCAATCAATGTAAAATAAAAATACAAAATAAAAATCAATTCGATTGAAAAATGAGTCCAACATCCAAAATAATGGGGATTATGCTATATGGATGCTACCCCCATTTTTTGGTAGAAAGATTGTATACCCAATGAGAATTGAAAATACAAAATTACAGCCAAATCGGTTGAAAAGTGTGTCCAAAATTCCGAAAAATGGTTTTCCGTTATAATTTTTGTGCAGGGAAATTTTCTATCCAACCAAAATATTAAATTACAGCTAATTTTTAGCCTGAACCCTATTAATTACTCCCTCTCCGATCTGGTCTATAAAGTATTTTTCTCCAACAGATCTTTTTTTAGCTAGCTAAACTAGAGTTATGCCGAATTTCTATTTTAGAGTGTGTCATGTCCTCCCTTTGAAGAATAATAAAAAAATTGAGAAAAAAATTAAATTTTATAATAAAAAAACTTACTTGGCTGCAACTGTGGCATCCACAAAATTGACAAATCCAATTTTGAATGGTTGCGGAATATTGTTGCGGCGTTTACGATCATTTATCAGGCGTACATTTTTAATTTCTCCAAATGTCTTAAAATAATCCAGTTTTTAACGCTCGGTGGTCTAAAAAAAGCCGCGGCAACCAAAAAAAACGGGGAAATGCGTTACACAATTTTCATACAAATGTGCCGCCAAAATATCAACACACACACAACAATAACAACAGCCTACCATCTGCGGAATGTTGTAGACAAATATATTGTACACCAATACATTGTCCTCGGTGAAGGCCCGACCATTGGCAATACTGTAATTGGGAATAGGATTTGAAATTAGATCCCATCGCCGACGAGGACGCTGTTAGTTTGTATGTTGTTAGCTTCTGTGCGAATTTCTTTCCTCTGAGATCCTGATTCGAGGCTGCTTTTGTGGCGACTGTTTTGCATATTCGTTTATTCATCGTTCTCTCTATCGTCTACTTACCCATTTAATATGGATATTGTCCTTTTATAATTCTTCGTTCTTCGTCGTTTCGTTTTCAGGTTGACGACGATGACAAAGTACTTTCAAACATCTTCGATGTCATCCAGCGAAAAGTACTCCATTTTATAGCCACACACACTCACAACAAGACCACTTTGATTGCGAAAGCAGTCTGAGTCACGAACAAAACATAAGTTGCCTACATGGCTACATCGGTGGGATTCGCAAAATGGACAAATCCTCTTTTTAGACTCTCAGAAGTGTAATCGGCCAGAGGCCCCATTTCTTTAAATCTCCTAAAATTTCTAAAGTATTTCCGTATATCATGTTCGGCTACCTATTTGAGCAAGAGTAACTGACCGCCTGACTGCCTACCTATTGCATGTAGATACATAGGTACAAATGTAAACATTCAGATGCACTCGATGCATTTGTATTTAAAATGAATCAATAGTCTTGCCATATAAAAATATAAATAGCTCTGTCAGTAACTCTGTCTGTTTACTCGGTATTTGGTAACAATTGTTACCAAATGTTACTAAATGTTGTCTGTTTAGTAAACTCTTACTTTTACTGTAAAACACTGTTTACCCAAAAACCCAGTAAAAGAGAGTCAAGTGAGAGAGCAAGTTTGACAGTTGAACAACAACAAACTTAATGGAGTTTACCAAGGTATATATATACCCAAGGTATATCCAAGGTATATCTATACAAGGTAGCCGCAACGGCGAATTTCTACAACAAACATCGGTTGTTGTATTTTGATATGTCAAAAATATTTTGCCAAAACGAACAGATTCACAAGATTTTTTTACACAAATTCTTGTAGAAAATGTTAATAAAAGTATTGCCAAACAAGCTCTTCGAAATTTGGAGATTTTCATTTATAATTTTGTGTTTTAATTTCTTAGTTCAACATTACAACAACATTTTTGACATTTATTTGCACCGATAGCTGGGCCGATGCGGCTACCTTATTAAATATACCTTGACATGGCCTATATAAACAGCTCTTTTTTCTCAAGTCTAATGTCAAAAATTTCGACTTTGTTTACGTCATGGCCATGGCCTATAAATAAGGTCACCAAGATAGCAATCGAAATCGGAAAACAGCTGTTTTTTCTCAAGTCTAATGTCAAAAATTTCGACTTTGTTTACGTTTTCATAATGGAAGTCAATTCACAATAATGCATTTTGACAGCAAACTTGAGAGATATCGATTATCAGCTGGTCTCCCTTGGTGACCTTATTTATAGGCCA